GGTTTTTTCTTCTCTTGGTTTACTTGTTGTCAAGGCAAAATTACCGCCATTTTAATCAAGTCAAAGCGACATCATTGACCAGCGGTTTTGCTATCCTATTTTTGTTGTAGGGGAGGAGAGGCTGAGGAGGTATTTGTAACGCAAAATAAAACTAGACGCCCCTGGGGCGTGAAGTCGGACTAGCTATTTTTGCTCTTGGGGTCCCTGTGCCATACATACATACTGCGATTTCGTGGGCTAGCGATAGACACTTCGAGCCTACAGTAAACATTACATAATCAGCGGTTATTATCAAATGATGCGCCGTAAACTGCATGGTCTTTCTATTGCTTTTCGATCTCTTGCAACGGCAAGTTCGACAAGTATTTAGCATGTTAAATGCGACTTTATTTATTCGAGGAAGTATTTATCAAGGTGATAATCGTTTTAGCGACATTTCTAGAGGAAGGGAATGTGCTTTTATGAGTCTTTCAGCTTTGTTATCTGCACATTGTGATGATATTTCGACGTGGACGACAAATACGATGGATTGTGTTTTGGCCGAATGAGATCTTTTTAACAGCATTCGAGAAGCGCTCTATGCCTGATGAAGAGACTATTTCTCTGAATTATCTGCCAGGTCGAGTCCTTTGGTCTCCGATGACATAACTTCCATCGCACATTTAGGCAAACCAGCCAAACCAATCGCCCGACGAGGCAAACAAATCAAAACAATCGCCCGACGAGGCAAACAAATCAAAACAATCGCCCGAAAATAAATAAAAAATTAAAAAAATACAGTCTGTAATAAAGTGTACATATACGTTCTAATCTTGTTTCTTTTTGCCATGTATTCTCCCTCCATAAAATAAAATAAACCTAAAACCAATTTGAACAAGCATCACAGAATTTACATATCGCAGCACTTCACTTTAAATAGATAGGAACCGCTAGTTGAAAATTGATAGACACGAGTGAAAAGATTATGATGTTATATTTTGTCTAATCATATGATAAATGTAAATGAAACTTGAGAAAGACAGCAGGATATTACATAAAAGATAAAAATTAGATTAAAATATATATTTCTTAATTTTTCTCCAAAATAGCCGAACTCACGGTCTGATAAGACCGTCTAGTTCAAAATATCCAAACTCTCTTGAGACTAAAATAAACTTGACCTTAAGGTCATGTAATTGATACCAGCAATGAACGTTTAAAGTAGTTCTTGCTTTCACTGATAAAATCAAACGTTGGTATGTAGATTATGTGATGCTAAGTGAACGTTGATGTCTCGCTAAGTGATATCATGATGACCTCTAAGGCAAAGAAAATAAAAACTTTACAAGGAAAAAGATGTCTATAAAATCATTAAATTCGCCTTTCTGTTTTTGATAAACAAAGTTCTTCTTGTTCTAATTTGAAATCTTTGCCCCCGGTCTTTGCCCCCACAAGACTGTCTAACACTAGACAGGATATTGATTCAGTCTTGTAAGCATACAACTCGAAACTCTATGCGATCTGCACATGCGCGTACTTCTAATGCCTAGACAGATGCATTCCGTGAGATCACAGATACCACATTTGTAAACGAATAGTTTTTTTGTCATATAAAAGCCAAGTAGCATATAACATTTACTAACGATATTCGTACACCAATACGCTTGAGCTTCCGGTCATGTAATAACACAGCCAGCCCAATAGTTAATTATTAAATTCTTAACTTCCGGTGGTCCAAACGCGACATGACCGCAGATAGATTGGCTAAAAGGTAAATTTAAAGTCGGACCCGCCTTCGGCTAGTCCGACTAATAAATAAAAAATAGCTAAAACTCAAAAACACTCCAAAACGTAAAACACTTTCAGTAAATAAGACAATACTAGTATTATTCACATTTATTTTAATCTGTATT